AATGAACTTTTCATTATTATTTTTAATAAAACTTAAATATCTAAAATTGGTCTGGTCTATACAATATATATGTACCTATAATTCCTGCCTTCATTTATTCCTTCAAACCTTCAATGTTCTGTATTATTTTCTAATAATCTTTATTATAATAGTTGATTATAATCTGGAATTTCATTTTCAATGTAATATTTAATTTTTTTTTCAACTACATATAAAAACTCTAGGTCAACTGAAGATCTGATAAGATTTCAATGTATCAGTGTAATAAATTAAATAATATTGATGATTTTACACATTTTTAAGTGTTAATTACACCTATTTTGCGTATTTGGATTTTTACTGCACGATTTTGAGTTTTTTACTGCACGTTTTCCAATTTTTTACTGCACGAAAATCCGGTCTCTAATTATCACCCATTTTAAAAATATGGAATCAATCAGAAAATTTCTAAGTAGTAAATAAATTTATTTGCATAACTAAATTTAAAACTTGTTAGGTTAAAAGCGGTGGGTGGGAAATGCTCAAATGCTCGTACGCCTCCACGAAAATCCATAAGGATTGTATATAGTTTCCGTCCTCACCGGCGGGAAGCCATCGCTCAGTTGAACAAATCCAGAATTTCGGTCGACGATTGTTTTTTATTCTTCATTTCGGAAGAACTTTTACTTATTACATGCTCATTAAAATTAACCAATTGAACTCATACCTACGCTAAAAAAAAAAGTTTGCCAAGAATAAAAAAAGTCAGTATAGCTTCCTCACCGTTTTTATTGGATAAACAATATTCATGTTTCAAAGTAGGTAATTTTTCGTATGGAAATAAAATCTTCGGGATAAGATGTTTTCGGAAATGCAGTAATTCTTTAACATTTGCGGGTTTGATATCCACGAATTTTGTTCACCAGCGAATATTAAAATTCGAAAGAGTTCGACATCTGCAAATTTAATGAATCGTGATTAAAAATAAAAAATCCTGGTACATATTGTACATCGCTACGGTTAGTGCAACAGGTCGTATGTAAAAATTGAGTGTTTTATAGGATAGCATCAACGATTTATTTCTTTAGGATTTATTAGTGTAATTGTATATTTTATTTTTCTCCAATATTTTACATAGTACCAAGCTGTGTCAGTTATATACTACGAAATGTCACTTTAAGCACCGATGGAATAAAAGTCGAATATTGCTATATACGACCTTTCGCAATAACAGTTGCGAATGTGTCGCTTAAAAGGTTTGTTTTCACTAGTAAAATAGATAGTACAAAAAATCATTTGGAAAAATTAAACTTTTTGTTTGATCAGGGTTAACGAGATCAATATTTGCTTCAGTGAGAACAAAATTAATTTAAGCTGGATTATAAAAAAAAAATGATTGAAGTTCAGAAAGCTAAGATGATTAAGGAGGAAATCAAGACCAGCTCATGGCTGAACTTCAACAGAAACAAACGAAATCTCAAATAAGACTTATGTTGTTTGTTTTAGGTTAAATTATGTTTAATAATATAAAGTAAAGGCTGCATTTATTTCACTATCTTTATTTTCTACATCGGCTATATTTCGGATGGGATGCCATTATCAAAGTAATTGTTAACAGTTACTCATATTAATCTTAATTATTAAATGAAATTGATACTAGACCATTTCTGAGCTATTCTCCAAATTTCCTCCAAGTTTGGTTCAAATTGAACGAACAGTATTCAAACTATAGACGTGTCAAATAAAACGTTTAATGATCCGAAAGTGGAAGTATTTTTTTTTTGAGTAGTGAATAGAATTTGATAAAATCGATTCTCACTTAATTATCAGTTAACCAATCCCAAACTTCCCTCTAAATTTTAGCTAAATCGAATTAGCGGTTTTAGAGATATAGACATATCAATGAAAACGTGTTTGTGCATAGATAAGAGAAAGTATGAGACAGTATATAATCAATTCAGAATCATTATTTTACCCAAACTCACCATTTTTTACTTTCACGTACATATATATGTGATATACAGTAAGGGAAAGTATTGCGAAAGTGAACATTTTTGAATCAGAGTTTTCAAACGAATTACACGTTTTGAGGTCCTCTGAATCAAAATAAGCAAATTGGTTAAAAATTGTCTGTGTATGTGATGTATCAAAAAATCAAAATAACCAAAGTGGTTAAAAATTGTCTTCATGTGTGATGAATGTGAACAGCTCAGAAACGAAAAATCGTACGAAACTGATATTACGTATTTAAAGATTGTGACAGCACCTTTTTCATTAAAATTGGCTAATTGGATCACTTGATATCATCGGTGGTACGCATTTTATAATGTTTCCAAAAACGGTTTAAACGATTTTGATTAAACGCGGTGTATCATTGTATAATTAAGTGATCTTTAATACCATTGTTGTCACTTCACAAGGCCAAAATGCTTAAATGTTCAATATATCGTCCTCCAAAGTACCTTTAATATGGTTTATTTAAAAAAAAAAAAACTCTCTGTTATTGACAGTAACTATAAAA